CATTTTCCCTGCTATATTGGCACAGCGTGGCGGCTTTCATGGGAGATGAGCAGATAAATGAGCTGTGAGATCAAAATGAACACAATAGAAAATGAAATAACTGCAAATGGAAAATGCTATACACATATGCTTATTTTGAATCTTGGCTGAAGGACACCGTCAAAATAAACGTTACTTATTGATATGTTTAAAGTGTGTTATTAAGAATCCACAGAATGTTTGCGTTTCATAATGCATTATTCAGTGAATTGATTTTTAAAAGTGAACCTCTTAGCGAGTGTGTAATATATAAACTGACCGGCTCCATAGTGTATAATGATTAAGGTTGAGGGTGTTTGCTGTGAGCTGCGGAGGCAGTGGGCTCAGGATCAGCTCGCTTCAGACAGACGAGTAAACACAGACCAGAGGCTTTGTCTGAATTGATTAGTCAGCTGTTACGTTTACCACTCACCAGTGAGTGAGGGATCACATACAGTATGATGCCATGGAAGTTAATGGAGTAAAACAAATGGCAGTTTCGGAACAGATTATAACTGGCAGGTGATGTCTGTAATATCTTTAAATTATACTCTTTATAAAAAGGTAGGAAAAAAAATTGTCAAATTCAATAAAAATTCTCTTTATATTTCACAGGTTTGGAATATTCAAACAACTTAAAGAAAAACATTTTGCCCTATTTATCTGTATGTTTTTTGGCACATTTTTTACGTGATGGAATTAGAAACACTGGGATATTAGCAGTGCACCTGTGAACTCTGACCTTCTAGGTATTAGTGGATTATAATGTTGGTGTTCTCAAAGCTTATTCAACCATTCTGCGGAAGTCTGTGAGGATAAGAACGTACAAACGTTAAATACTTAAACTGGACCGAGGAGGAACAGGTGTCAATCAACTGGATTACTGTAACCTATGACAACATTGCACATTTCCCAAAAAGGGTTACTTTAAAATAAAATGCTAATGTATGCATTGAAAGGTTCATCATTTTCTTTAAATATGTTAAATATTCATGTTTAGGTTTTTTAATCGAATATTAAACATAACTTGTGATTATGTTTCAAATAAAACGTCCCTGCACAACCTCACAGGTGTCCTCACTTTAGCCTGATAGGACCTTCAGGAGCATGTGGGCGTGTGCAGACAGCACTTATTGACAAATCTCTTGGTGACATCACAATTTCCAACATAGCACCATATGGTTATAATCAGCTGTGAGGGTGAGCAGAGCCTCTTATGGGGAAAGGTAAAGCTTTATGTGTATTCATTTAAATGTAGTATATTTAATGTTACGAAAATTCCTTGGCATTTTGAGATGCACTTTGTCTGCACCACCAGTCTTAAATCAGTGTTTATTCTCTCTTGTAATTGCTTGTTAAAAGGCATGCAGGTCTGGAGAAAGGCTCCCTTGCTAACAAGCAATAGTCTGGCCTTTTCTCCAAAATGGGACCGGGTGTAGCTAAAACAAGATAAAGAAGGACAAATGCCAGACCATTAAAAGGAGACATAAAAGACTCAATTTCAGGTTCATACTTGTTTTTTGGTTTTCTAAAGTTTCAATTCCTTAATTTTTCTCATACTGGTGGTCCGAATGTATCTGTTTTTTACCCTCTGTCTGCTCTGATTGGCTTCAGAACTGCAAAAGTTGTTCCAGCCGTTGATGGAGATACTCAGATGGGGGCAGTATATTCTATTGCATTGGACATATGAAGGGGAGGAACAATATTTTCTGACTTGAGGCAGCACATAGAAAACTGGATTGACTTGCTTTGTGGATTGGTAGCCACTCTATTTACCCAAATATAAGTGAAGTAAAAGTGGAGGTTTTTTTCTAACATGTCCCCTTTAACCTGAGCGTTATGGGAATTTTCTGTGGGAAATGCATGGGGGAAAAAGATTCAGAAAGAATGTGTGGAGATAAATAACTAGACACTACCAAACAGGGCACTAAGGATAGCTAAATAGTTGGATTATAATGATCCTTTCTTCGGCTTTCACAGCCATCTAGTCTCAACTCAATTTATTGATCCACCATCATCATCAAACTGACAAATGAGGGAATAAGTTTAAAAATTATAAAAAAAAAGATTTCCAAGTCTTGGAGAATCTAAAGCAGAGATTATCATACTGTGAGACGCACCTTCACAAGCGGGCATGGGAGAGTTGTAATGAAGGTTTGGAGGAAGAAATTGCGTGGACAAAGATATTGAAAGGTTAAGGGACAGGTGTGGTACATCTTACCAATGGTGTCAACAGTTGCAGTGGCTGTGACAAATGTTAACAAAGACCCAAAACACATATTTTTTTGCATTCAGTGTGACTTTCGCTTGCCAGCAATATCATTATCTCCTTTTCCATTGGAAATATAATTGCGTAAATTCACCGTTTACATCCAATCTAGAACATTTTGAAACGTAGTTGTCTCCATTTGGTAACTTTGGTACCGCTGGATTAGTCACATACATTACAAGACACTAAACATTTGTGACATTGGTCTTTCAGTTAATTAGCAACTCCGCAGTTTTCTTTTCCAGTTTGTCCTGCTTATACCGCCTAAGCAAAGCTGCCACTCAGCCACCCACATCATTTACAAAGAAAAACAGTCAGTGGTGATTGCCGTTCTCATTTTCTCATATCTTGCGCTGCCTGTTGAACTCGTGCAGAGTCGATGTAACTGTGGAACAACACTGTTTATTTCTCTCAGTTGGCTGAAGGCTTCGCTAATCAGGCGACAGCTACCTGTCTTTCATATAGAAGGGCTTTCCCTGTTTCTGTCTGTGACATGAGCAGAGCCTAATTTCAAATATTTCCTCTCAAATTACAAGACAGGAAACCAAATCTCCATCCTGGAAAAACACTGATTATTTTTTCCAGTGATACATGATGTTTTCACTTTTTTTTCTCCTAAAATGTTGCTAAAAAGCCATCTGGATGTTCAGGATTTTATTCATCAGTCCAAACTGCACTGTTTTGGTGTTCTGTCACAATATTTCTGTGTCTTTCATTATCTCTAAGCGTAAAGTTGTATGATGCTAAGTGGAATACATTTATATATAAGCACACAAGCACACACTGGGGGGAAGAAACTGGAGAGCTTATCTTCAAAGTCTCAGTTATCCTGCCTCTTCTGTGTGTGTTTGTGTTTAATTATTGATGCATTTACCTGTAGGCAGTACTTTAAAATAGCAGGTGGTCTATAAAATTGTTCGTTTGAACTTCAAAAAATGCATAACATTTTATAAGCTTATTGCATGATTTGCAAGAAAATATGTCAACTGTCAGGACCTCTTGGGAAGAAAAAGTAGAATATGTCAATCTGAAGTGTAGTGAATCCAAAAATATCAATTTTAAACGTCAAAAATTCAAATTCAACAAAAATTAAGTACTACATTAAATTACATTTCCCCCTTTATCCTGAAATGTATCTCTGACCGGATACTTTGTTGCTAACCATTATAAGCACTTTATTCATCATTATCTTCATTAGCTGGCTGAGTCTCACATGGCTGTCAATCCCTTGACACTGAAGGCAAATTATAAAGTGATTCACAAATAATGAGTGTGATAATTGCTTCAGTTACACTATGCTAACAAACTGTGAGGTCTCTGAGAAACTCAAGCCAGCGTCCGGACGCAAAACACAAGAGAAGTTGTTGTTGGACAACTAATGTTACTGCAGAGAGGAATTACAATATATAACAACTTCAATCTATTCCTTGGTTCCTTTTTGCAATTCTTTATGATGGAAATGATTATGTTAGAGAAATCATGTAGTGTAACACACGCTGGGGTAAAAAGCTTAATTATTTTACAGAGAAAGATATAGGACAGTAGTACTGCAGTAGTAGCGCATGTGTCTTACACTTGATTATTCCACAGGCCTGGCTATGGGTGAATCAGTGCGAAAAGTTCTATAAGAAATATTTTATGCATGCACAAATATACATACATATGGAGGCAAGCAATGGGAAGTTTTGCCAGAACATATTTGCTCCTGAGTTATGGAATTGGCTACTTAAGGAAACCGGCTGACTGGAAGAATGCTCAATTAGGATTTAAAATAAAATCTACTTTGGTCGAGAAATAAGGTGTGATAAATGTGTGGAATTTATCATTACGAAAGGAGTATTTATTTGTTATGAGAAGCCATGTTTGATGAGATTAACATTGGGTTAGCAACTTGGTTATGTAAAAATGGTTCATGGATTTATGTTGTTTCTAATTTATTTAAGAAACAAAGTTTTTAATGTGCCTTTTTTATTCAACTATCATTTCTTTAACCAGTCTCTATGTTTTTGGGCATGGAGAACTGCCAAGCAGTCACTGGTGTTGCAGCATGTCAGTGTAAAGAAAAAGCAAGATGAAGAAGATGAGTCGTTATAGGAAGTTTTCTTACTTTGGCCCCCTAAGATACACTTTGTCACAGCGTTGAACCCGATCCATCCAGTTTAAAACCTGGACTACAACTGAGCGTCACTAAGTGAATCTAATATTAACTACACTAAATGATTTCTCTGTGTGACTGGGGGCACCAATAAGAAATCTATAATCTGTCACAGATGTAAGTACACCCACTTACAATGGGGTAAATAATGTATGGTAGAGAAGATAAGAGCAGTTTAAGGGACTATTTAAAATCCTTAAAAACAAGACATAGATGAGATAAAAAATAGGGTGTAGCTCAATATAGAGTAGATGGAAGCAAATATCAGGAGATTCATGTAGGACATTTGTGGAGGACAAAACCCTGAGACTTTTTCTTCTGTGTTTGAAGATACAGTTTCCCAGGATAAGATACTGTCTGTTTTTGTGATTTGAACGTGCTGTTCAGCAGCAAATGATACAGGGGAACTACTGTATACTACAGACCTTCATTGCTTGCTGCTCATTATTTGCCCATATCGTTCTATGGATAAAGGTTTGACTTCCCCTCTGTATTTTACAGGAACATGATTGGCTTCGAGGGCTTGAAGGGGTGAAATCCTGAGAGGTGGCCGCTCCAATGGCGTGGACCGAGCCACGGACGCGACCAGACCCAAAGCAAGAACCAAAATTGACGCCTTACAATGGCAGGACTTTTCCATCAGCCATCCTTCAAGTGCACCCTCCATTTTTACTTCCCATCCTTCTCCTGCTTGCTGCCTTTGCTGACCTGGGAACTGCCGGTCCACCCCAGCCAGCCCGCCCCCCTCTCCTGTCTGGACAGCCTTTTATCATCTTCTGGGGCATTTCTGACTCTGCTTGCTCCGGTCGGCCAGATCCAAGCTCTTATGGGATGGAACGGGAGGGCCGTGTGGCCGTTTTCTATGAGGACACACTGGGGAACTACCCTTATTTTATAGATAAAGACACACCGGTCAATGGCGGGTTACCACAGCACACACGGCTGGACAACCACCTTCAAAAGACACAGCAGGACATAGAGGCAGCTTTACCTGCCCCAAGGTACCTTGGGCTGGGGGTGCTGCGCTGGGCAGAGTGGGTTCCCCAGTGGTCAAGAAACAGAGAGAAGCAGGCGATGTGTCTAGAGGCATCTAGAAACCTGATGAAGAATTTCTTTCCGAGCTGGACCCCAGAGGAGGTCGAGAGGTGGTCACAGGTAAGACAAGTTAATCATAATGACCTATAAAATGGGTGAATGGCAGAAGAAGAAACAGCTATGGAGGTAAGGAACAAGGTAGGAAACACTCATAGGAGGAAAGATAAGAGAGCATAAGTTGTTGGTGGTTGACGGGGAAGAGTGTGAGATGCGGATGGAGGAAAACACTTCAGAAAGTGTTTTTTTTATTCAAAAAAACATCTTTGCTAAAAATACCTACTTTGACTAATAACATCACTATGTTACCATTTGCTTTTGGTTATTAAACTAAAGACTCGGGATTATGTTGGCAATTATATGTCTTTCTGATGTGAGCACCTTTTAGGAGGAGGGATATGAGTAAGGAACAGAAGAAAGAAGAGTGACAGAATATAATTACTTAATGTGATGACTCACATGACAAAGTGCACGATTTTCTGAGAAGAAACAAGGATTCATAATTTACAACAAAGAGTGAAAACAGATTTACTTTGATTTTGTTAATTTTAAATGGTTTCATAAACAAGGAGCCTTTTTAACATAGTAGGTGACTATTATCTCCTGTTTAAATGTATGCAAATAGATGTTAAATTGTGCTTGGACTGGAATATGTCCAACCACAATTTAACATTACACTTTGGAAAACAGGCTCCTTCATATTCTTGCATTTAGAAGAAGGCCGAAACCATTATCATGTTTTTAACACATGTTTTTAGATCAGCATAAAGATTGGAAACAGGATGAGACAGGTAGCTGGGTTCTGTCCAAAGGTAGCAAAAATGAATAAATACCAAGTTATATCTTTGGTTAATTCATACAAAAACCAAAGTGTAGAAACACAGGCGGTCATGTACTGGACATTCCGGAGTTCTGTATTTCCAATTAAGTTTCCCAGCAACTGGCAGAGATGCCATAAAGGGACTGTGCCTGGTCCAGAAATGGTCTGCAACTTAATCACAGAGTCACTGTTACAACTCAGTTTTTCTATGGATTAAAAAAACGAGATGTAGAGTATTAATTAGTGAACTTCTGCGATGCCAGTCCAAGATAACTATCCCGTCTATCGCCAATCAGTTTTGCGTCTGGGCACGGTCAATAGTTTTAGGGTTTAAATGTAGGTTGCGGATATTCAGGCAAACACCTGTATTTCCTGTGTGCAGTTGATTGTATTTAATCTGATTAGCAATTGGAGACACGTGAATGGAGTTAGAGTTGAGAGACAATGATTCGGTCAATGCCCTCTGCCTGTTATGCTATTAATAAGGACTGCTTACCTGCATGTTTCCGGATGTGATTAGGTCATAGTGTTCGTGCAACAACCGGATTTCTCTCCTATAGATTACGTATTTAATAATAATAATAAATTATATTTATATAGCGCTTTTCTGGAACTCAAAGACGCTTTGTAAGCAAATATCTGATAATGAGATTATCTAATTTTAAACGAGTAAGCAGAATAGTGTTTTGTGTCAAACTATTTATTTAAACATATACATAAATCCTGTCAATCCAACAGCTGTCCTGCTCACTGATTTGCAACATTTTCCAGAGCTTTCGTTTAAATAAAAAAATAAAAACCAGAAGATTGAAGAACTGCACGTTTTCAGATCACAAAAGAGGAAGGGTCCTGAGGGCACTGAAAAAGGTTCTATTGATCTTGTCACAGGTGGACTTCGAGGCAGCAGCGCAGGCAGTAATGACGGAAACTCTACGGGATGTCAAAAGGTTGAGGCCCAAAGCATTATGGGGAGTCTCCCCTTACCCCAGCTGCTACAGCGGGGATCCCGCCCAGACCATATTAGCCAATTACACCAGCCAGTGCCCTGCTACGGAGATGGCCCTTAACGATGAGCTTCTGTGGCTATGGAAACGATGCTCCGCTCTCTACCCTCTCTTCACCCTGGAGAAGATGCAGGTGGGTAACGCTAATGTGTTGTTCTTTTGTCTATCATTTGAGATTTCTGTTTTCGGTAAAGAATCAACTGGTAGCCCAATTTTCTAGAATAAAATAGGTTGACCCTTGAGAGCATTGCAGTACCTTTTGGAGACTGGATAATGTCTTGCATGGACTGCGATACGATGCAATATTTTTCACCACTTACGCAAACCATGCTGATGTCATCTGTAAAACACGCAAGTTAATTTTCCTGCAAATTGTATGATGTGTGTTTCTTTGCATCATCTAAACAAACAACCAAAAATAAATCTATTTGGATAAAGAAAAATGTGTTTAAAATAAAAGATAGAGGTCCTACCAAATAGTTCAGACCAAAGGCAAAGTCCCCAAAACGTTATTTAGTTGTACGCGCAAATACTACACGATTGCTGACAGTTGCGCACGTGGAACTTCAGCTAGTCCGCCGAACATTAACAACGTTACTCAGCTGCAAAAAGACTACTTGTAGTGTAACACCAAAAAACCACATGAAAAACACCATGACTGGATTATCAGTGAGGACTTGTGAATTTGTCCTTGTCATCATAAACCAACACCTTTGTAAAGCCAGATATTCAATACAATATATAAATCTGCCACTTTTTCTGATAGGGTGGTACCTCTGGAGCAAGGCTTTATTTGTCCAGTCAAATCAAAGAAGCACTACGAGTTTCGTCTCTGAGTGGGACGGCATTTGATCTTCCTGTATTCCCACTGATCAAGAGTGTCTACGCCTCTACTAACACTTTCCTGTCACAGGTGAGGTATTATTGTCCGGTATTTGATCAGAATCATGTTGTATTATAGCAATAATTATTCTAAGAGGTTCTCAAATCTCTTGGAATATTGGAAAAGAAACAATAAGAAAGGATTTTTGGATTTGCACTCTGATCTTCAGTGAATGAATTAAGGGTGAAATAAACAGATTCCTCTGGTAACAAGTATAATGGTGTTCATACTAATACAGAGGGATAGCTGTAAAACAGCGTGCTGTGTTTTGACTTTTACAGCCTCTTTGAATACTTTCTTGTTAACAGGCAGACCTGGTCAGCACCATAGGAGAGAGTGCTGCCATGGGAACAGCCGGAGTTGTCATCTGGGAGAGAAGTGAGACTAAGACGGAGGTATAAACCTATACATTTGCATAAAGTGTATACAGTACATCCACAAATATCTCTGCACGTTTTTTCCAGCCACTGAGTATTATAAAGGATATAATGGACTTCAGCTTCTTAATCCATAGCTTTACCATTTTACTTACAAAAATGGCTTTATGTGGGCAAACAGTTTCTTCATCCAAAATAAGTACAAACGTTATTTACGATCTACCCATCTACTTCTCAGAGAGAATGTCAGGACCTAGCAGAGTTCGTCCGTAAGGTACTGGGACCCTACTCCATGAACGTAACCACGGCAACTCTGCTTTGCTCAGCATCTCTGTGCCAGGGAAAGGGACGATGTGTTCGTCAAAATCCAGAAAGCTCGGCATACCTCCACCTCCCGCCGCCCTCCGCACTCACACCTCCATCTCCATCTCCATCCGAAGTGGTGGAGAAGGAGACAGAAAAGGTGAGAGAATGTGATTTTAAGGAAGATGTAAAGATGTATCCGTTCTGGATTTATAAAGCCCTGTATACTCTTATACTATTAAATTGCAGTGATCATTAATTCTGTCCACCAGCTTGATGCCCACTCGGGTTATGGCTCGTTCTCTTCTTGGTGGGGTGACTAAGAGCCTTACGGAATAACTTTTTCAGTTTTCAGTTAATTGGCTACGTGTAGCTTAAGACTTTAGCAACTGCTCAATAATAAACCCCGAGTACTTAAAGAATATTATGATAACTGTATTTAGAGAGGAGTTCATTCTGGCTCCATAGCTTTGAATTCACCCGCTAAATTGAGTGATTTATCTGGCGTCCTGACACGAAACACTGATTCCTTGGTTGAAAAGCCATTGATCCAATAACCGCGAAGGAGGTACTGACAGCGTTGTCAAGCATTTGGGATGTTGAATATTAGTAAATTGGCTATGACAACTTTGATTCCAAAATGTATTTTTATTTCCTAAATTATTTGTAGTTTTTNAATGTTTTTATGAACCACACAGCTTCCGGTCTTCCAAGACCCGACCGGACTAAAAGACGTGTTGCAGGCACGAAACACAAAACCAATAGAAATACATTGCTTTTAAAATCGTTCTGTGTGACACGGAAAAAAGGGGAAAATGGTGTTGGTGAACACAAATCAATAGATTAAATGTCGTGACTATAACACAAAATGCCGTGAGACTGGGCTGGTGGGAAACACAATGTTCTGCCATGTTACAGATAAAACAATCCACACATCAGTGGAAGACATAATGTACAGTTAAGTAAGTGAAGAAAATATAAATCATTACATCTATGTTGTTTCTTTCACTATCTTCACACACATGTACACACATAGATCTGATTAATGTCAGCTGTGATGACACCACACGCCGTGTGGTGTCATCACAGCTGACATTAATCAGATCTATGTGTGTACATGTGTGTGAAGATAGTGAAAGAAACAACATAGATGTAATGATTTATATTTTCNTATCAAGAAGATACTGTAGTGATCTCTACAATAAAACAGTTTAGTGCAGGACGTCCAAAGATATTAACAGGAGAATGTGCAAAACAGACAAACTAATAAGGCTTTATTTAAACATTAAAGATTACTTTACGGGCTGGACCCGGGGGCTGCCGTGGCTCCATTCCATTTCATAGAGCTGTGATGCTCAGCGTAACCTTGTCGCACTGCCACTCCAACATCCAATCACAGGACAGCTCTATGAAATGGAATGGAGCCACGGCAGCCCCCGGGTCCAGCCCGNACCTTTCCAACTCCTCATGCAGTTGACTGTTACAGGTCTATACAGGTTCATGGTACAATGCATAAGCTTCAAATGGAGAGACTGAAACTGTATTTTCCTTTACCGTTCTGTTTTAATTTCATATTATGTTTGATATTATTATGTTTTATTAACAACACCACTGTTTTTTTAACCCGCACAGCCTAGTGGTTAAAGCACGTTATTGAATGTTGTTGTTGAATACATTTTATTTGATGAAAACATTTAAATATTAAGAGTAGCCTACATACAAAATTGGGGGAAAGTAGAAGGCATGATAGAAATATAGAATAGAAAATATCAAGAAGATACTGTAGTGATCTCTACAATAAAACAGTTTAGTGCAGGACGTCCAAAGATATTAACAGGAGGATGTGCAAAACAGAC